ATATACAAGTCTGTGGAGGTGGTCACGTGGGTATATACGAGTCTGTGGAGGTAGTTAGCTGGTTGTATACAAGTCTGGCAGGCCTCATTTTTTAACTTTGCATTTATTATAAGTGATTCTTCCTCCTTACCTTCTCTCTGTTCATACATATAATAACTGGTGCCCATCACACCATTCACCCAACACTTTAATTTTTCCCTTATCCAGGATGAGGATGACGACAACATTGATGATGATGATGATGATGACGGTGAAACACTAGCAAAACTTCCCTCCAATACGTCTGCCATGCAGAAAATGGAAGTAGATAATGCTGCAGAGAGCCAGACTGTTTTTGACGAGAATTCTGACAAACCAACAGCAGGGGTGTCGGCATCTGCCAGACAGACAAACAAGAAACCCAGAGTCTCTGCGACAATTCCCAAATTAATGGCAGTTAAAACCAAACCACCCAAATCTACTCCCGCAGCTGCTGCACCGATGCCGTTGCTAGGGTTGTCTTCTGAAATTGGTCTTGATCTTGAGCTTGGCCCCTATAACCCAGACATGCCAGTTGGTAAGTGCTCCCAACTCCTCCTGATCTCAACTCGCTCTCGCTCTCTCTCTCTGTCTCTACTTGCTTTCTTCCTCTGATCTTACTATGGCAACAGATTTCTAAAGTTTGCAGTTTTCCATTTAAGAATAGAATAGATCTACAGCTTCCTGACTATCACTCGGTTAACAGACTTCTTTTTAGAAGACTTAATTGCATAACATATACATCTCATAGCAATATTTGCTATTCATCTATTTACACATGTCTTTTGAGGTCAATTACTTATCATTTAAATTATTTCTTGGTGCTTTACACTGTTTATTAACCCACACTATGTATGTTGTCTGTTATAATTGTATTGGTATTATTGTTCCATGTGGTAGTAGGGGACAATTCCATCACGTATAAGCTGTGTGCGTGGTTTTATAGCGTAAATTCTTAAAGCGATTGAGGTATCCCCACACATCAAACCTTTGTAGCCTTGTAAGACTGTATCTGCTAGAAAGTTCACTAATGTTAAAGGAGAAACATCATGTTGCTTTGTATTGGTTACACCCCTCCCTTCCTGAGTTGTCTGAACATCATTTCAGTGTTCCCTCATTTCCCTCATTTTTCTTTCTTGTATTTATTAACTTTGTTGTCGTCCCACCCCTCCCTTCCTCTCACATTTTCGGTCTGATATTGACATTATTATTGAACACTTATACATGTACTTGCCGTGCTACAATGTAATCTTTCACATCCTGCTGTTTTATGTAAAAAAACATTAGTGCATTAAATTTTTTCCTGAAGACAAGTACACAGATGTACGTATAGGAATATTTCTGGACTATTTTTTCCAATGTACTCCTACACGTGTCACCATATGAATTTGTTAACCATCCTAAGCTCACACCAGAGCTAAACGCACATACAGTCACCTACATGTGTACCTATTTCCACTTGAATAGAGAAACACATGAATTATTTCCTTTACTCAAAGACACAACTACCAATATATCCGCCAGACAAACCCTCAGAGTCCTAGCCATGTATCAACATAATACACTCCATTGGAAATTACAAATTAAGTGCATCAATTTGGGAATGAAAATCTGTTTGTGAAGGCAATCCCTGGTTTCATACATGTATTCATTACCAGTTTATATTTTGTTTCTGGCTTGCACATAATTGACCACCAGTTGTGTTAATACCTGCATTTATGTGCCATTCAAACCCTTATAGAATCCCTACTTGTGATTCTATTGGGGATATCACGTAAAGCTGCTGCTGCTGCTATCATCAAGAATGTCTCCACAAAGTAGCGGATCCAAGCCTCAGTTTTGTTATCGCACAGCATCATTTTGGCAGCGACTCAATTTTTTTTTTTACTCTGTGTTGATTCTACTTTCCAGTTTTAGAGAATCTGGTCTACGTTTCTGTATTCCATGTGTGTGATGCCTGTATTTGCTAGTGCCATGTGGATGCCGGACTGTTTGGTGTCTCGCAAACTGATACCACTTTTGTCTCGGAACTTCATCTTGACATCCCATTCTGCCATAACTCGCTTTGTGTATATAAATAAGCCAAAAAGAAGCTCTAGGAAACTTCGATAGAGTAAGCCTTTTTTTTCTGCGACGAAAATGTTTCAGCATTTTGCAGATGAGCATGATATCTTATAATTTCCAGGCTGCGTGGATGAGATCAGGAGTTGCATCTGCTGCTGATGTAAATTATGATGTTCCAGAAGTGCACCACTGATGATCCACTGTTACAAACATTTGCTTGGATACAGCAGCTTTCTAAAAGTTCTCAGTATCTAAAAAACAATCACATTTGCGATCCTCGCAATGTTCTATACATTGCATCATGGGAAATGTTGAGAAGACATTTGCGAATTTCATTGGCAAGGGCAAGATACTTTAAAACGTTTTAATTTCATGAGAAAAGAAGAGTCGTAGATAATCATGACATAAAAATTTCTCTGGGGTCCAACAACAAATTTTGATTTGAAAATTTCGTGCTGAATCAAACCATGAAAATTCAAAACATTGAAAATTAGGTGGTTTACAGTACACTGAACAGAACTACAGACATATCCCCACTTCTCTAAGTTATCTTTCATGTTTTTCAAAAAACTTTTCCAGCAAAACAAAGATTATTTTGAATTGTAGAATTGTGGAAGTTTGGAATTCACTCATGCCGTTGAAACAAAAAGTATTTTGGATGCTTATAATTTGGAATAGATGATCCTCAGCAGGACAAATCATTACGAAAATTTGATGCCGAGTTTTACCTACCGGGGTACACATCCTTACACATGTGAATACATTGATATTGAACATAAGTATACATTGAAATAGACGTTTGACAGACATGACAATTGATACGTTCATAATTAATTGTACTTTATTTCAAATCTTGAGAATAAAGTTAGTTTTATTATCCAGTGTATTCCCGTGTACATCTTTATTTCATTTCAATTTTGTACATCATTTCAGTAGTTTGAATTTTATGATAAACATTCTTTCAAAATTATCCCCAATGTGATTAACATTTTCATCACCAGTTCTCGCTTTTCATTACAAATTCACAAAATAGTCTCGTTTATAAACTGCACTTTCCTTCACAAGTTGGGGACAAAAGTAGCCAAATATGTTGAGTAAAAACTGAAAATTTACAGAAATTTTGAAAAATATAAAAAAGTTCAGAAATATTAAAATCGGTTGTGTACCGGTAATAGTCTCTTTTTATTCATGCCATTTCTTAGTGTCCCCACCAATGCAAACTGAAAAACTCTCTTCGCAACAGCTTCTGATGACCATCCTGTAATAATAAAATAAACTACATTTGGTGGGAAATTCTGCAAAGATTTTAAACCTGTAGAACTGGGTGTGTTTGGACCTCGTGATAAACAGTGCAGGTAAATTCCATGTCAATTTGCCCTACATTGATTTGTCATTGTTTCTCTGTAGGTCAAGAGCATGTTGTACCGGTTGCTGGGTTCTTTTGCAAGCTGTGTCATAAGTTCTACAATAATGAATCTAATGCTAAATTCAGCCACTGTAAAACTAAACCTCACTACACAGCTGTCAAGGTAGGATTATTTTCAGCTTCATACAATGTGTATTAAAGCGTGAGGATCATCACCTGCGCACGCATGGGAATTGAGTCCCAAGCGACGATAACAAAACATGCTAATGCAAAGGCTCATGGGTAGATGCTTATTTGTAAATAATGACACGATATAGCCATCTGACTCGTGCGCAGGTGACGACTCCCCCACTTTAAAGTTGTATTGTCGTTAATAAAAAAAAAATGTGTGTGTACACACAGTTTCGGGATTGTGATTGCAATTGAGTTTTTCAGAATCTTAGACTGTCATCAAGTCAATAAGAGTTTTCCGAATCTAAGCGTGCCATCAAGTCACTGAGTTTTCAGCATCTTAGGGTGTCAAGTCTCACTGAGACTTCAGCATCTTAGAGTGTCAAGTCAATACGAGTTTTCAGCATCTTAGGGTGTCCAGGCTCTACAAGTTTTCAGCATCTTAGGGTGTCATCAAGTCACCGAATTGTACGCGAGATTCTGTGTATGTATACAAATCAATATTGACAGAATCAATAGTTGATGTGAAACGTTTCCATTAAAATTACACCAGACTCTTGCGTTGTTTCTGGTATAACCATTGTGCCCTTACAAATTTATACATAGTATTTCTATTTTACCTAACACTGCTTCCGAGCAATCACTGATTATCAAATAGTACATACTTCTGCTTCAATCAGTATAAATTGTGAACACCTCAACTTGTAGATTTAATTTTTGACAAAGTTATGCAAAGCTTTCAACTAACTTTTTGCCATATGCAACTTATGTTTTGAATACATGTTCCAAAATTTTTTTAGAAAGAGTGAAGTAATGGATAAGATTTCACCAGTGCACAATATTCGTCAGGGCCCCCATACTGTGTCTTCAAATTTGGTTTGGGAAATTCATTCTCACATTGTCACTTTAAATAACTGGATCCTTCCAGTTCTGCTGGTGTACACAGTAATAGTAGTTAAGGTCATAGGTCATATAACAGTCAGACAAGTCTTATAAGAGTTCAGCTGTCTCTGTAATACATGTCTTCAATCACAGAAATACCTGAATAAGCAGAAAGAAGAACTTATCAAGAGTTTTGACTTTGAGAATTCCAGTGATGGCGAGACTAAACCACACGTTGAAGAGAAACCAAGGATTGTGACAAAGAGAACAGATACAGTGAAATCACCACAGGTAAATATACAGTACATATGCATGTGGAAAATGATACTGTTTTGGTCAAAAGATCTTTCCAAAAAGTATTTTAATTCAAGCTAGATTCTATTCCTCCCAAGAATTATAGTTGACTTTCAGAAAAAAAATTTTCCAATTTAACAGAATTTCTCTAGGAACCTAAATTTGATTAGTGGTCCACTGTAAACTGGTAAAATTTCATATAATGTATGTCTTCAATCACAGAAACACCAGAACAAGCAGAGTCCCAGTGATGTTGACACTAAGCTACAGATAGACGAGAAACCCAAACTGATGATAAAGAAAACTGAAACTGTCAAATCACCTAAGGTAAATATAAACTGAGTATGCATGTGTGAATGGCAGAGGTATGACGACTAAAGATTCAATATATCATGAATCCAATTTTTTGGGTTTACCGGGATATAAACTTTTAAACGAGCAAATATAAGTTCACGGATGAATCAAGGAAATTAACATTTTGTCATCCAAATTTTGTATACTGTAGAATACTTTATTTTAGCTGGAATTAATTTTTGCTGAAAAGGCATTTTGGGTGTTTTGTATGGAATTTATTTTCACAAATTTTTGACAATTTGTATGAAAAATATAGGAAAAATTGTATATTCGCTGGATTTTATT